CTTCTCAGAGTCAGCCATAGTTTGTTATGATCTACACAGTCAAATGCCTTTGCATAGTCAATGAAACAGAGATAGACATTCCTCTACATATATAATATATCTCAAGGAGTTTTAGTGGCCTAGTGGCAAGAAGCTGTGTTGCAATCCTGAAGGCAGGTTTGCAGGTTCCAGGCCACAGGAGAAGAATGGGCAATCTTTTCCTGCATGATTAACTGGCACTGAAAACCTACTGGAGGGTCAACTATGGGTCGGTTCTGACTCTACAGTACACAACAACAACCAACAACAATCTATATCCCTTTAGCGTTAAATTTACATGCCAAACAAATGGAGTCAAATTACAGATGATACATTCCGAACTGCCTCTTTCGCTAAGGTTCTGTTGAAATCCATAACTGTTAGTTGTTATTAGTTGCCATGGGGTCAAGTACGACCCATCGTGACCCTATGAACAATATATCTGTACCCTGTCCCATCCTGAAACATCCTCACACTTCCTGACATACTAGAGCCCTTAGAAGCAGTCATTGTGTCAATCCATCTGGTTGAGAGTATTGTCTCTTTCATCAAACCTCTCCCTTTTCAAGCATGACATCCCTCCTTCTCCAAGGAATAGCTTTGCTTAGCAACATGCCCAAAGTATGTGAGATGGAGCTTTATAATTCTTGCTTCCAAGGAGCATTCTAGCTATATTTTCTACATGACATATCTGCCTGTTGTTTTGGCCATTCCTGGGATATCCAGTGCTCTTCTCCACCACCACAGCTCAAAGGCATCCTTAACAAAGAGTGTTTAGTGAAAAAACAGGCCAACGCCAGACTGTCAAGCCTAGCTGTCACTGAGTCGGTTCCAAAGCACAGCGACATCATGAGCTTCTAGGAGCTAGCTTCTGTGCTACATAAAGTTGATTTTTGTTTGTTTCCCGCCCCCCCACCCCGAAATTTGAGTGAACATTTGTAGAGAAAATTGGGGTTTTTATTTTGTTTTTTTTTTATTTCACAATTCATACTCATTTTGTTTTATAACATTGATTGTAATACCCACAAAGTAACTACACTCTTCCTACATTCTCCTGTGATTCTTGTGTCCATTTATCTTCCTATCCTACCCCATCCTTTATTTTGAGTTAATTTGTCTCTGGGTAAAAACTGTGACCATTTGATTACATGTGTTTGATTATGCTAAGGCATGAGTGGTTCCCTAGTGTTATTGTTCACCTTCAGGCGTGTCTATTGTTTAGTTGCTAGCTGAGCTAGGGGATGAGTTTTGTTCCAGGTTCAAAAGGTGATTAAGGTCTGTAGTGTTGACAGTCCCATCTTCATTCAAGGCTGTAAATATAGTCACCAGTCAGCATAGCGATTTTTTCTGTTTTTACCGGGTGGTTTTTTGGAGAGAGATGGTCAGGTTTTTCTTTCAAGGAACTTCTGGGTGGCCTTGAACATCCAACCTTTTGATTACCAGCCTAACCTGTTAACTATTTGAACCACTGGCTTGGTTGTTCATTATTTTCTAGCCCAATTGAGTGGCCCACTGTTAAACTGCTCTTCTGACAGAATTTGTTTTGCCCTGTATTCTATTTAATTTGTTTATTTGCACTGTTGCTGTTAAGTGCTGTCTAGTCCACTATGACTCAGCGTTGCAACAGTGGATCTGAACCTTGCCTGATTGGGTACCATTGTCACAATCTGCATCATGCTCAAACACATTGCTTCCTCTGCCTCATTATTTCTACCATTTAGAAAACAAAGAAATGTCAAATAAACAACTGGATTTCTAGTCTTCGTTGAAATAATAAAAGGGGCTGCCAATGATGGGCCAGTATTCCTTCTTGGCAGCCCTTCTGGGCCACACCTGAGCACCCAGGTATCACCTTTAGATAGGGTATGTGGTTTCCATTACCCACAAGCCTCACCATTTCACATCTAGGTTGCTTTGCTCAGATGGGTTCGGTGTTTGGCACCTGTGAGCATCTGAGGTCACACTAACAGTGGACGCCTTCAAAGCTGCTGTGCTGAATTCAGAGTTAACAAACCTTCTGTTGTGATCCCAGTCTTACAGTAGCTAAATCACATCCATTGCATTTTTATCCATTTCTGTTCCTTCTTCACAAATCATTTCATATATATAGGAAGAAAGACTGTCAGACAGTCTTAAGAATAATTTCCTCTCTTTAAGTTGTCCTCAAAAGTTTCCTATGAAATATCCATATCTTCCTGGAATATATCCTACATAAATATTTCCCCCTTTGCTGAAAGAGGGGGCTTTTTATAGGATTCTCTGCTATAAGGTGGAAAAGCAAAACCCTTTAAGTCAGTTATTCTTAACAGAAATGATATTGTTATTAATGCAACCAAAAATTGATTATCAGACAGAGCAAATTAGTCTTGCTCTCTTTATGAATAAAACACAGACTTCTATAGAACCTAAAGACATATAAAGAATACTGAAAATTTACCGGAGACAAAAAAAGAAAAAAAAATGGAGAAAAATTGCTTTAAACCGAGTGTTACATTGATTATAATCCCACTGATTCTTTTAAGATCTTTCCTCTATAATTTCTTCTGGTCATCTGGCATAAAATACAGCACTCTGGGGCAGAAGCTGAGCTTACAAGGTGTGCACTTGAATTTTCTACTTAATGGTTTCATTGCTACTGAACAGTACCACATGTCTATATTGGCTTTTTAATTTTTTTTAAATTTTATTGTTATTTTTGTGTGTCTGTGTACCATCAAATCAGATCTGGCTGGTACAGGAGGAGATTGTCCCTCCTTTCCTGGCAGAGCATCTGGTGAATTCAAACCATGCGCCTATGGGATTGCAGTGCAGCTACTTGCCACTAGGCCACCAGAGCTCCCTATATTGGCTTCTTTTGAATTTTCAACCTCAAATTCTTTTTTCTGAACTTCCATATGGCTACACTTTACCCATCCTTTAGAATTCTACCCAAAATATTATGGTATTTACTACACTAAATCTCTCTCTCTCTCTCTCTCTCTCTCTCTCTCTCTTCCTCTTTCTCTCATCTACATCATTTATCTCTCAATCTCTATCTCTAAATGAACTATATGAAGATTGGCACATTGTATGCTTTTAACCAACACATGTTGAATAAAGGAATTCATAACCTATGAAAATGGCACCTTGCTTGCTTCATTTTCTAGACTGTATGCAAACAAGTAATAACAATACAGTGAAGTGAGGGTTACAATACAAGGCACATTTTCTTCTGGATACTAACAGAGGCAAGACTTTGAAAAGATGGACAGTGCAAACAGTTAAGGGTCAGAAAATGTTACCTTAAGTTAAGAAACCAGAAAAAAACAAACGTAGTTGTGCATGTACCGATACATAATCATGAAATGGTTAAGCAGAACATTCCAGTGAACTGGCCAGTGCACACTTTTCAAGTTCAGCTTCTGACCAAAAGACTGTATTTTATGCCAGATGGACAGAAGAAATTATAGAGGAAAAGTTTTACAGGAGTCCATGGGCTCATAATCCATATAACACTCAATTTAAAGCAGTGTTTCTCTTCATTTCAAAAGGAGGTGGGGAGAATACATATAACATTTCCCTCCACTAAAAACATACTAATTTTGTGAATTTTAAGTGCCAGACCAGTACTCAATACTGCAATACGTTGTACACAATCTAGATTGTGTATGGATTAACTCACTCTACAGATGTTTAGGAGCAATTGACTGGACACTATTATCAAGCTCAGGGTATGGTGTTGTATGAACTATGTCATCAAGGACAAGAAGACTCAATGGCACCTAACAACATGTGCTGACAATTTTCTTAGGCACCGGTTTGGCCCCTAATCTCTTTCCATTGGCAGAATAAACAGATATTCCTAATTGGTCAGCATATTTCATAAAGCAGAAAGCTAATAAGTATGTTTAAAGTCAAAGTGATGGGTCTGGCTGTGAGGAAGCAAGTGAGACCTCCAACTTCTCCTTTTTGCATCAAATAGCTGTTGGTGCTTGGGAGAGCTTTCGAAGCTCCCATTCTTGTGATGTTTATGATGAGCATCGGAGACAAATGTCTTTACAAATCAGGAAAAGGGGCTTTATTTTTTTTTAATTTTAATTCTTTTTCAGAAATGGGCAAAATTTCTCCGTGATTTCGAGAACTTTAAAGCCGCTTGTGTTCCATGGGAAAATAAAATCAAGGCAATTGAAAGTAAGTGTTCATCCTATTTCATTAGGTGGGGCAGTTGTCTTAGATAAATGTTTCATGAATTTGCCAAATAGCAAATCTTAGGAAAGATGAAAAAACTAAAAGCAAATGAGTCATTGCTATCATAGTTCTTCAGCATCCATGGTAAAGGATTCCCACTGCTTACCAGTCGCTACCAGAAGAGGTTTAGTTCTCACTTTCTTGGTTAGACCAAATCACCTTTGATTTGAGATCATTGTTTCACTGGAGAAGTACTTCTTTGAAAACACTGACCAGAACTTTGACGATATATACTTTTAGGAAGGTTGGCCAACAATAATTTTTTTTTCTGAAAAAAAAAAAAAAAAAAGAAAGCGTGAAGACATTCTAGAGGCTCATATTCAAAACTCTGAGATGAAATAAGCAATAATCATTTTGAAAATTGCTACTGGAATCTTTGTATTTTGCTTTAATTTTGTGCAATATGAAAAGGACTACAGAGAAAGTAGAATAATACACCCAATTAAAAAAAAATCTACTTAATACAGTAAGTACTCTAGAATTTGAAAAAAGATAAACCAAATCCACTGCCTTAGGTCATTTTTGAGCCATAGAAACCGTGGAGGATAGTGAGGACTTTCCCACAGGCTTATGAGGCTGTAAATATTTGCAGGAGCAGACTGGCTCATCTCCCTCCCACAGAGATATTGGTGAGCTCCAACTCTGACCCTTTCTGTTGGTATCTACACACTGTATTATTGAACCACCAGGCTCCTTAGAATAAGGCAAATAAAAGTATTTAAAAAATATTGTAGACTTAATAGTAAGTTGTTTTATATAAGGCAAATAAAAATATTTTAAAAGATTGTAAACATAATAGTATATTGCTTTACACAAATAATGAACACCATTGAGAAAATGGGATAACCTTTAAAAACATTTCACATAATCTGACTCTACCCTGGTCTCCAAGGGTTGGACTAGGATCTGATTTTGCTCCATGCCTTTTTGGATCACAAGACAGGTTTTCCTGCTGCTTAAATGTGGATTCTCATAATTAAAGTGGAGGCTCCATAAGGAGATGACCCAGTTGATGAATATTTCACTGGCGTGACTGGGCATGCTGAGGGAGTGGCTTACCCTTATTATTTCTATCTCTCATTACTAAATAGAAATAAATTAAAATACATTAGCTCATTTACTGCAACCCTTCCCACTTAGTCCCACTTTGTACCATCATTCTAATATTTTCTTTGGTTTTTAGTACTTACTAAAATCTAAAATGCTCTGTTTTTAATAATATAACTTAAACTTTCACATACAATTTATTGTTTAGCTTACATGCGAATCTTCTAATAAACATGAAAGTAGGCATTGTGTTTTTCTCACTCCTATACCCCTGGACCTGGAATATTCCTGGCACTTAATAAATGTGTGTTGAACAAAATTAAACATGAAGTCTCCAAATGCCAACTGTTCTAGGAAACAGAAGAAGAAATTTAGACACATCAAAAAGAACAGAGTTTATGGAATCCTTAAATCTTACCAACTGAAATATTGGAACTTGACAGGCACCGAAGAATACAAACTTATCTGCAGCATTAAGATCCTGGTGAACTTTGTGTAGAAATAAGTCTGAATTTAGTCCTGGCTGTGCCACAAATTAGCTGTTTGACTTTGTGCCAGTCAGTTATTTAATCTCTCTGGCCCCCAATATTCTCATTCATAAAAGAAGAGGGTTGAATCTCAGCCAGCTATGAGGTACGTCCCAATACATTTTTAATCTTAGTTAAAATACATAGATTTGCAAATTTTTTTTGTTTGAAAGTACACTAGATCAGGTTCCAAGTGACTCCAATAATAACACCATGCTCGCTTGTGTTGTAATAATAACTTGTCTCAATGAGACAGACACAGATGGAGTTCTTTCTATGCCAACAATTGCACACAGAAATGAGTAGCATGCATAGCCATCATCTATCATGTGTCACAGTGGGGAGGACAGACTGAGATTCTCACTAATGCCTCAGTTATCTTCCTTATCTCTCCTTCCTCCAGTAAATGTGAAGTACTCAAGATGATTTTTTTCTTCTGTATGTGACTAATTGTGTTTTGCCTCAAAGTGGTAAATTGACAATTATTTTCTATTCTACCAATAATGCAATAGTGATCATATCACCACTTACTGAGTGCCATTGTTTGTTGGTTGCCCTATGTTGTTTTTTGTTATGTGCCATTGAGTCAGAACTGACCCATAGCTGACCTTCCAGTGGATTTGCAGAGGCTGTAAATCACATGTGAGGAGATTACTCAACTTTCCCCCACAAGAGCAGCTGGTGAATTTGAACTGAGTCTTTGAGATTGCAACATAAATTCTTACCTCTAGGCCACCATGTTGTTGTTGTTGTTGTTGTTGAGTACCATCAGTCGTAGGCAACTCATAGCGACCCTATGAACAAAAGTCCTTGACACTTGAGTGCATGATTTTCATCCTTTCTCCAGGTTCATAGGGTTTCCGGAGGCACGCTGTTTACAGAAGTGGATGCCACTCCTGCTCCCAAGCTTGTTTCAACCAGGGAGCGCCACCCAACACCATCCACCATGGGTAACCTTTATCGCATTTGACAGATCAGTGTCATAGTGTTCAGCTTCACAGCAACCGTAAGTTACCTCTGTATGGCAAGTGGACACACCAGGGCTATACAACCTGGAAGATTGTTTGAACAAAAACAATGAAAAACAGGCCTTAAGGCCGCGGATTAGAGTCACCCTCCTTTGGTTTGGTAGTATCACTTTTGGTCCACTAGGCCAACTGGTCTCTCTCCATGTTGTGAAGTACCATCGAGTTGTAGGTGACTCATAGCAACCATCTGAACAAAAGTCCTCAACACTTGCGTGCCTGACTTTCATCCTTCCATAGGGTTTCCAGAGGCAAGCTGTTTACGGAAGTGGATGCCACTCCTGCTTCCAAGCATATGCTTCCACCATACCTCCCTTAAGCATAATTTTATTTAACCTCCAATGTACCTACAATGTACACATTAACTTTCCTACTTTACACTTGAGGAAGTTCTGGTGATCAAGTGGTAAGAAATTGTGATACCAACCTTAAGGCACGTGGTTAGAATGCATCAGCTTCTCCATAATCTCTCTCACACACACACATACATACACATAAACACACATGCAGAGAATCCAAGATATAAGGTGATATGTATCTGGGTCTAAAGCTTGTGTTTCGTTTTGTTGTTTTGTTTTCTTTTTTGTTGTGTACCAATGAATTTGATCCAACTGGCACAGGAGGAGATTGCCCCTTCTTCTCCAGCGGAGTCTGATAGATTCAACTGTGGCCTTTGGGATTGCAGCACAGCTTGTTGCCTATAGGCCACCGGAGCTCCCTAAAGCTTGTGTTTTTTGCAAGATGACATGTTGCTTTTTATTTTGGTAAAGGTTTTATAAAGTCTATTCTCTTTTTTTTTAAACTTTCTTTTACTAGTTTTAATGTATATTTACAGAGATTTTGGATTTCCATTCATTCACTGTTGCACTTTTTTCTCGACTTCCCTCCCCCCCCAGGAAAGTATTTATTTAAAGACATTTTTCTCCAGTGAACTAGTATCTAAAAGTTAATTTTTCTCCAACCAAGCAGTACCTAAACGCCAATTACAAATATAAATAGAATTTTTAGACTTTACGTCGTTTTGTTCTTGGTGATGATTTTTTTTTGTTTTTTTAAAAATTTTTATTATTAAGTATTATTATTATTAATTTCAATGAACATCTACAGAGATTTTGGAATTCCTAGTCTTTTTAAAGATGTTTTGTATTGGATTCTAAAGAGGACCTTACTAGGCTATTGAAATATAAATAGTTAGAAAATTCCCCAATAGTTATTCTCACAATCTCACCTGATTAAAAAACATATATACACACCTACAAAAAATACTCCCAATCTCTATTTGTGTACTTTCCCCTTAAATTTTTCTGTTTTCAAGAATATATTGATATTTGCTTTATTTTAGAAAACAAAACAGTGCTTATATACATTTGAGGCACTCTTGCTTCTGAAAGTCAGGTTCATCCAACAAGTTCATCTCATTTGAGGTTCAGAATAAGTCTAAACAGATTGATTAATTGAACAAATTCAGTGTCTACCACATACAATATACTGTCTTCCTTTCCTTCACTGACCCTCCATCTTTCCAAGCATGATAGCCCTTTCTAAGGAAACTTCATTAACTACAAATTGAAAGTATGAAAGATAAAGCTTCATGATCCTTGCCTTCAAGGAGCACTGTGGCTGCACCCTTTGCAGGAGAACCTGTTTGTTCTTTTGGCAGTCGATAGAATATTCAGTACTATTCTCCAGCACCACAACTCTAAGTAATCAATTCTTCTTCTGTCATCTTCATTCATTGTCCAGTTCTCTGTGCATAGAAGGTGATTGAGAAGATCTTGATCTGAATCAAGCGCACCTTAGTCTTCCTACTGACATCATTACTCTTCAGTATTTTGGAGAAGAAGTCTCCAATGAGATAGATTGAGACTATGATTTAAGAAAAGATCCCTAGTGTATCAGAGATAACAAGGATGGTACAAGATAGGACAGGTGTTTGGGTTGGCTACTAGTAGGGTCATTATGAGTTGTATTCAACTTGATGATACCAACACCTAAGAACTACCACTACTTACTGGGCGTGTGTCTAGGTGCTAGAATACAGCACTGACAAATCTTAGTCTCACTGAGTTTGCACCCAAATGTGGAAATAGGTGTACAGTTGAGTGGGGCAGGAAGGGAAGACAGACAAAAAAAAATAGCAGCACATAAACATAGAAGATGATTATGGAAATGACTGTTTAATGGAGGAGTTTGCTGTGTTCCCTCTAATCTGTCTTGACCTCGTGCAGACTCAGTCTCCAAATAAAGAGCAAATACATATTTTTCACTGATTTTAAAGGAATCTCAGATTATCAGTTTGCATTATCAGATTTCTTCCCAGTGGTTGGCAGAATTAAAAACAGAG